TAAGTCCCCCAGCCGAGGAGCCCCGGCGAGGCAGCGGCAGCCCCACCCCCAGCGGCGGCAGGCGGCTCTCCTCCCCCACCCGCGCCGCCACTGCGCCCAAAGTCAGTTTGGGGAGGAGGCTGTTCGGGGGTGGGCGTAGCCTGGGGGTTGGGGGGGGGGAGCTGGTGAGAAGATCCCGCCTTAGGGTTGTGACACATACATACATACATACATACATACACGTACATACATACATATACATAAGGGCTTGGCACCACTGGTAAGGCGCGACCATTGCCCCCGGGAGATCCCGGGATCGATACCCGTTAGGGTCATAAGTCCTTCCGCTGGTGGAAGGCATTGCGCCCCTAGTTGAAAGACGGTGGGGTGACCTGGGATAAAGTTATCCTGCGAGCCGACCAGGAATGGAGTTGGGCCGCTGTCGACCCGGCAGATTCCGTTGGATGCTGGTGGTGGGTGCGGAACCTGAGCGATCCACTGAGAAGTTGATTATGGTGACTGGATGAGGGTGCCCCGAAATACCAGGGAAGGCAGGGTTTCGCAGGGTAGCTGCCACGGGCGAAGATACACCCCCCTGTTTCACACATCATATATACATAAACATGTCATTTTCCCTTCATTTCGTTCAACACGGCCCTCTCCCAATCCTTCCTCCACTTCCTCTTCCAATACACCGTAACACACTGCCGTACCGCGTGTCACTCCGGAGCACCAGCAGCACATCTCCCCCCGCCGCCAACCCCCGCCCCCCTCCCCCCGCCGCGGCGCTGGTTTGCAGATCCACAGAGAGGGAGGTGGTGGCGGACCCCAGCGGGTTGTGGTACACCGTGGCTTCGGAGCGAGCCGCCAGCATCCGCTGGTCCTTAGTGAACTGCAGTTACCAGTTGTTAAGAGCACAGTACGACATAGCAGTACGCAGCAGAAAAGGATGCATAGGAACCAGAATATCACACGAACAGCATATCAGCGCGCACCGACGCCACCGCCCCCCCCCAGAGCGGCGTTGTAAAAACACCAACGTTCACGTGGTTGCCGTACACACAAGGCCATTCGTACATCATTAAAAGAACATGACACACGATAGGCTGGGGGTGGGGTTTGGGAGGGGCAACACAACTCACAGCTGCGTGACCGTTTGTCCTCACACCACGGCAATCTTGAACTTGTCTAACCACACCGTACCTGTAACGACATGTAGTGGTGGTACGGCATGCCGTACCCGTTGAGGCCATCCGCCTCATTGGGTCTCCCTGGAGCCGCCACCGCTACATGTTCAACACGAA